ACTAGCCTAAGGAAATAACTTGAGGTGGAAGAGATGGCTATCTTGGCCGGCCTCTATCCTTATTTATAGGGCTATTACATAATTCTAAGAGTGCCCCTAGGTTTAGGCTTGAACCACTTAGCCACATGAGTGAAATGGTCCAAATTGGTTTCCATACATCGGATGGCCATGAGCCTTTCATGAAGTCGCTTCGCCTCGACGGAAGATCATGACGCCACGTGCCGCCCCGAGATCCTCCCTCGGGTTTTGAGGCCCAAACCCAGCAAACCTGCCGCCAGCAGTTTTGAGGCCTAAAACGCCAAACCCACTTAGAGTCGCGTAGCTGCTACACCTTCTCCATGATGTTGACATGTGTCCCACTCATCCTTGAATGGATGATCACCAAGTGCTCGCACACCCGCCTTGACTTGGTCCAGTCGCCATCTTAACTTTGGTCAACACCGTCTCCATCACCATCCTTGCATGTACAATTGCTTGTGAACGTGTCCAAGTGCTAGCTGTCCACGGTCCATCGTTGGGCCCTCGGTTCAAGCCTTCAGGTCCACCCTTCACCGATCCTGGCTCATCGCGCATGGAGTCCTCACCCTTCTCCATTGCCATCAACCGTCTCATGCTCAACACCTACACATCACAAAGCTAATAGACATGTTGCACACATAATTCACTCGCTCTATGGTTAGTCTCACACACTTAACCAAAGTACCCGTCACCTCATTAACAGTCACTCAGCACTCATACATGGACACATATCAACCATGTGTTCGCAAAAAGGCATGCATGGAAGGTGTTTCAAAGGCAAGCACATATATGTGTGAGGTTGAGCAATATAATTCATAATACTTTACAATTTGGGACAAGTTTTAAGCCTTCGATACCTTGTATTTCAGAATGGAGGGGGTACTCTCCATTCTCTATAGAAAGTTTCTTAAATTTGTCACATAGATCCATTAGTTTTTATTCTGCTTGCATGACATTTTTATTTTTTTCTGATTTTGCTTGCCACATCTCCTGTGACTAAGTTTATCTAGATCTCTATTACTCCCTCTGTTCCAAATTATAAGCCGCTTTGACTTTTTTGTTACAAAAAAGTCAAAGCGACTTATAATTTGGAATAGATGGAGTATTTATTATCTATTCCACATAGAAATTTTCTCAAGTTTATTAGATAGATGCATTAGTTTTATTTATTCTCCTTGCATGACGGTTTTATTTTATTTTTTTGTTTCTGATTTTGCTTGCTATAAACCTCTTGATGGCTCTCGGTTCTATGATTTGGTAAGTAGTACAAATACTTGCATATGTGCCGGCTGTAGTGAAGATTAATTATATTCTCCTCCAAGATAAGGGTTAGCTATTCCAGTTGAGTTTAGAAGTATGTACCTTCCATGTTATATCCATGTTAACCGGTAATGTTTTCAAACGGTGATACGAGCTATGCATGTGTTCACTAAGCTTTTCATATTATATCCATGTTAACCAGTAATGTCTTCAAACGGTGATGCGAGCATAGTTATGAAGTACATCACCAGTGGGGCTTCCGATTTCCTGATAAAGCCTGTGAGAATTGAAGTGCTGAAGAACATATGGCAGCATGTGTTCCGGAGGCAGCTGATGATCGGGGAGAACTGCAACAATGCTCAACACCTCGATCAGGTTTCATATCCACCAACCATAGCTCCTGCTTCTACATGTGCCACAAGAACCACAGGAATAATCACTGAAGCCACCACGGCGACACTGGAGAGCGCGACAAGAGAAACGACTAACGGGACGGTCACAGATATACAGGATCTCAGGAAGTCAAGAGGCTCAGCTGGACCATATAGCTGCACCGCCAATTCATTGCAGCTGTGAATTCCCTGGGGGAAAGTGAGTAGTGATAGATCAACCACATCTCCTTATTAGCTTTTAAGCATGTTCATATATTAACATAGTATACGTATTTTATTTGTGTAAATTATGTATATTGGTTATACACTTGGTTTACAGAGGCAGTTCCAAAGAAGATACCGGAGACAATGAAAGTTAAACATTTGACAAGAGGACAAGTTGCAAGCCACCTCCAGGTAATTAATTAGTATATATATTCTGATATATATGTTCTTGTACAAGGCAAAGGTGCATGCCACACGAATATGTCTCCTAGGTTAAACATTGGACAAGAGAACAAGTTGCATGCATGATAGATATCTCCATCATTAAAAATCCATGATGTTAATGTTAACGCAAACTAGTATATAAAAGTACAATTATTTTGCATGTGCTAACCTAGCTAGCTCAAATAAAATTCGTTCTAGAACTGCATATGGATCATTTCATTTTGTAATACTCCTGTAATATAATTGTGTTGTTTATGGATATACTGGTGAACCATAAAAATTTTACTTCAAAAAACTGATGCAGAAATACAGGCTTCACCTAAGAAAATTGAATCAAACATTGCACAAGGATGACACGCCTTCACCATCAAGCCATCCCAATGAATCAAACATTCTCAGAACCGAATTCAACAGTTCTTTGAATTCAACGTATTTTGATCAAGATGGATGCTTGGAGATCACAGACTACTCTTTGCCCAAGGATGACATCTCAAGTGGCTCAGACTGTATGCTTGGGAGAACGAAACAACTACTGACTCACCTCAAGGTTTCCAGGATTTCAGATGGGATTCAGAGAAACAGGGATCTGAAACGACGTATTTATGGAATTTCGAGGCAGAGATGAGTGATTCTATCACTATAAACATGCATCATACCACGAAACATAACTAGGTAATAATGTGCTCTTATATGCCATGTCCTGAATAATGACAGCCTATGTGTAGAGTATTATTACATCCTGTACTGAAACTCATTTGTATATGTGTTGCCTACTTGAGAGTAACATAAATACTGGAGCGAACAAAAACTACTTTACTACTATATAGACCATAAATAGCCAGACCTACTTAATTTGGTATTTCAAATAATTATACTATCAAATAGTATAATATGTAATTATATGCACTTATAATTCCTTACAGGAAACAACTAAGATATGTATGATTATTGTTTCTAACTTTTCTATAAGCCTGTAATTGATTTTATTGTTTCAGTTGTTTTACTTTTTATTTTGTTCCTTTTGTATGAGCTTGGCTGCTTGGTTTTACATGTGAGGGCAGTAAATTCTGTATCCACAAGAAAAAATATGGACCAATTCCTCTCTTTAGATTGGCACCAAATAGTTTCCATGCTAGGCTGACCGGCACATGAGCGTATCATGGCAGTACTCAACAAGCAAGGCAAACTACGAATACATGACTACAAACATACTAGAGAACAGAACACTACTCCTGTTGGTTTTGTTAATTCCTGACGGGTTTTAAAATACCGATGGGAACCAAGAATAACTCCTATCGATCGTACAAAGCCAGCAGGAAATAGCCGGATATATAACTCTTGCCGGTTTCTTATAACCTAACGAAAACCAATATGCTGTGAGGAGTAAGAATGCGGTTCCTGACAGTTAGGAAAAACTGTCAAGAACTTTGTTTCCTATCACCTGAAAACCGATGAAATTCAGGTTCTAGCCTTCTCTAGGCGTGAGTGTGAAAAATCAAGCAAAGTCACATGCTCGCTCGATGAGCGCAATGTATGCTAAAACTCTACGCTACCATTTTCTTGGGTCCACATGCAGTAGCCTCTAAAAGTAGCCCCAAACCCTAATTTTTTTGAAGCAGCCCCAAACCCTAATTGGTGCCGCCCCCATTGTGCTGGGCATATCCCACCCCGCTGCCACCTCTGGATCCCCGCGCGTATACTCGTGCCTGCTGCCGCTTCCCTGCCCCATCGGTCATGTAGCTGCCCCCACTCGGTCGCGCCCGCCCCATCGCGCCTATAGCCACCTCACCACCTCATTGCACCCACCCCATCGCGCCCGTAGTCACCTCCTTGTACTCGTAGCCGCCCCTGATTAATTGGTCTATATAGTCGCAAGATGGTTTTGGCTGAAATGTTATGTCAAATTCAGATCATAGTCAGTTACAATTAAATAACTGTTAGTACAATCTGAAGGCTAATAAAGAATAAAATGTTGAAGAGCATATACACAGTTGGTTCCATATAAGGAACCAAATTTATACAGAAAAACATTAATTTTCATTGTCTGGTTTGTAACTAGAATAGAATATGCAAATATCATTTCCCCGGTCAATTATTCCTCTCGTGTGTGTGTGTGGAGAGAGGGAGATAGAGAGAGAGCGTTGATGCCAAAGACATTTCTGCACTCCAACTCGGCTGCTATAAAGGAAGGTGGCCGGCGAGGAGGTTTCTCTTCAATAAATATCACATTTAGATCCAAGGGATAGGTTTGGGTGTGATTAGGGGTTGAACACACTTAGGTTATTGCAGGTAATTGAAAGAACCATGAGGGTTTTTTATGGTGTCAAAAATGGAAGGCGAGGAGTTACATATTTTTTTTGTTCTTATTCTTTATTTGTATTGTTTTCAATCAATGTCACAGTATCTTGTGAATTTTTTCTTCGTTATTTGGTGAAAGCTAGGTTTCTTCTCTATGGAACAATTTGTTGCTTTCCATATGAGACTAAGAGTGACATGCATGGATATGGTGCTAGATCTCTAGTGGAATTGAAGGAAAAGCTTGCAGAGTGCATATTGAAACATGTGATTACCCACATCATGAAAAAAAAAGAATTGGGGAAAAACAAGGGCATACAGTTCAGCATCTCTGTATGTATTATGTCCACCCCACGCGGTAAGCCGAGATGCTCAAGTGGTCAATTAAAAAGAGGGGGCGAATCGATCACGAACAAAGCCGGACATTGTTTGTTCCCTTTTTTGTACCACCCGCCGGTTCGAGCAAGCAAGGATCTAACTGGTAAATCAAGCAAGCATAGTGTAGGAGCATGCATGCGCGCGATGCCTAATGTATGTACGTATATACATACATTAAAACAAGCCTGATCGATCGATCGATGGAAGATGGATCCAATCCATATACGTTCATGCTAGGAGCCAGAAGTTTTTGTGGGTCTTGGTGTTGAGCAGGTATCCGGCATTCTGGCCCTTCTTCTGCACGCTTACGCACAGGCACTTGCTATGCTCGATCAAGAACTCCGCCGTGGTGTCGTGCCCGCGGCTCGACGCGCTCGGGCTCCTTAACCTGATGAGCAAATTAAATTAAAGATCATTAGTAAGTGTTTGATGAGTGGCATCGATCGAGCCCATGCAATGCAAGACGACGCGCACTTACCCGAGGAAGGAGGACACGCGGCGCTGGCCAATGACGAGGACCTCGACGCCCCGTCGCTGGGACTCGGCGAGGATGGTCTGCGCCTTGGCTTCCCGGCCCTCGGTAGCGGGCTCGACGCGCTCCCCGTGCACCCGCGCGCGGGGGTACCGCGCTTTGCACGCGGCGCGCATCGCCTCCACGAAATCCACCGGATCCGCACCGGCGCCCGAGCCACCGCCTAGAAGCGCGGCGATCGGGGAACCGGTGCTCCCGCCAGACGAGGAGCGTGAGGGCCCGGCGGCTCCACCCGCGGCCCCGTTGTGGGGGTAGGGCATGTTGACGTGGAGGAGCAGGATGTCATCGCCCTCGACGATGGCGTGGGAGAGCGCCCACTCCATCGCCGCTGTCGACTCGCGGCCGGGATCGGCGACGATCATCACCAGCCGGGGCTTGGCCGGCGCGGTGCCTGAGGCGCGGCCACCGCCGCCTCCTCCTCGCCCGAGGTCGATCAGGGCCATGCTGCAGCCGCCGGCCGACGTCGCCGCATGCACGCACGCAGCCTCGCCGGCCTGGCTTAACGACAGAGAAGCTTTTTCGGGGATGGTGCGTTTGCCAAGTTTGGGGAAGGTGGGGAGAAGCTTTTCAGGGCCACCAAGTTTGGGGAAGGTGGGAAGACGCGCCCGCGCGGGGTAGCATGGTTAATTTTCACTTTCTCGGGACATGCTTTTCTCCGGTATTGAGGCCAAGCGTGAAAATTTTGCATTTTGGTCCTTTTTAAAAATCATTTTTACAAATTGACCCCTCACAAAACATTTTCTAAAAATAGACCGAACGGTCGGCGTCTTAGGACCTAACGCCGTGGTCTGTGGCTCGGCGTGGTGTCAACTGACGCCGAGCAGTTGCCACGTCAGCGACAACACCGGTTGTAGCATACATCGTGGCACTGGGGCCCACCGACCTCAGCGTTAAGCCAATTAGGGTTGAGCCTCAGACCTCGGCGTCGCCCGACTCAACGCCAAGGCTTGGGCCCATAAGGCCGAGCACCGGCCCCTTCTTCCTCCCTCCTCCATTCTCTCCTTTCCTTGGTGGCGTTCTTCTCTCCCCCTCTCTTCCCACGAACCCTAGACCCTAAATGCAGCTCTAGGGAGGTCAGATCGAGGTTTTTGACGCTTCCCCAAGGTGCTCCTCCTTCCCTCTTCTATTGTATCCGCTTAGATTTGGTTGCATTTGTTGTTTATCTTTTGGATAGTGGCTTTGATTGGTTGGTTGATGTCATTTGCGACCGTAGGTACGCCAAGGCGTGGTAAATCTAGTAAACCAAGGTAACCTCAGTCCATCGTGTTTTTTTGCCGTTAATATATCAATTTGCAACAAATGGAAACCATAGGATTGATTTTTACAGTTCATTTGTTTCGGTTCTTAGAACGAAATTGGTTCTCTTTTTGGAAACTGCCTTCAACCGTGTAGATTTAGTTGCCTTCAACCAAATAATTAGCAATACTAATTTGTCCAACAGTCAACAAGAAACCCTAATGACCAATTAACAACTCGTTGACAAACAAACCATAAATTAACAAGTCCAACCTAAAAAGCATAGCACAAAGAAGGCACCAAATCAAACTAAGCCATACATTCCACAAATACATCTACAAAAAATATCATACCACCATATACCCAGGGTTCACAAGTTCAGAGACAATGCAACTAAATCTATGTGAACAGATTGGAGGAGGGGAAGGAGCATTACCTCGGGGAACTGTCGGCAAGCGAGATCTGGCCGCCCTAGAGGAGCATTTGGGAGTTAGGGTTTGTGGGGGCGGAGGGGAGAGAGAGAGCGAGAGAGAGCATGCAGCCACGCTGAACAGAGAAGAGAGAAGAGTGGAAGAAGAAGGGGCCCGTGGCGCTACTTAAGTGCCCAGGCCTCAGCTCAAGTCGGCCCACACCGAGGTTAGATGGCTCAGTGTTGACTAATACGACGCTGAGCTATGTGGGCCCAATTGCCATGGCGGATACTTCAACCGACGTCGTCACTAACGTGGCATCACCTGACACTACGCCGAGCCTCTGACCTCGGCGTCAAGTCCTAATGCGCTGAGCTGTTGGTCTATTTTCAGAAAATGTTTCACCATGGATCTATTTGTAAAAAGTATTTTTAAAAAGGACCAAAATGCAAAACTTTCACAGTCCAAGCACTAGAGATTGAGGTTTTAAGTGATGTGGTAAGCAACAAGTAAGAGCATCTCTAAGAGTACCCAATATTTTCTTTCTAAAAATATGAAGTTTTACAACTCCTAAAAAAGTATTGGAACGAATAAAGAAGGCCATCTCCAAGAGTTTCTAATAATCCACTCCTAAAATATAGAAGATAATTTTACATCAGGACTCATATACTATTTCTAAATTATTCTAATCACTTTTATATATTATTTCTCTCGTATATTTGCATCAGGAATCATTTTCCACTCTTTATTCTTCCCATGCCCTTCGACCTTTAGATTGGCCGACAAACACACGCAGGAGAGAGATGATACACACAACTTGGAAGCGCGTAACTTTACGCGGAACAAGGTGACTTTTCCTAAGTTTTAAAAGATTAGGAGTTGTTGGAGATGAGTTTTTTCTCATCTTGCTAAAAACCAAAATTTAGGAAGGGATTTAGGGAACTCTTAGAGATGCTCTAAGCCCCTTTTTGATCTCACCATCTTAAATTTAGCCGACTAAACTTTAGACCACTTTAGCTTTTCATGGTTTAAACAGCAGGTCTAAAGTATTGTCTAAAATTTAGCTAATCTCATAAAAACTTTTGACCACATAAGTAAGCTAAAGTGGTCTAAAATTTCTGTTTTTAGACAAAATGGTGTAAAGTTTTTAGTTCTCAACTTTAGCCAACAAAAGTTTAGACTAGAGAATTAAATAGGTTCTAAGGCCAGCAAAGTAGCTTTTCATACTTTTATATTATTTTATTTTTTATGATACTGTGCAGGTTAGGATAGGGTTCATGGGTTCGGAGCGCTCAGAACCCTATATATCCTCTAGTAGCCCTCTTTTTCTAATTTTTTATTTGTTATTATAAGTATGCACTTGTAGAGGCGGCTCCTCGGTTGCCCTTAGAAATGAGATTTTTTAATCTAGGGTGGCCCCGTCAAGTCATAGGTCACGTTATTTTTTCCATGCGAAATATGCGCTTGTGTGACCGTAAGGGTTCGAACCTACAACTTTATAACATCTCCAATTTTCCAAAACCCATTCCCAATCTATGCTCTGTGTAGGGCGTTTGTCCGCCCGGACACTTCGTTCCCAAGCCTGCGCAGCGATCTGGCCCAACAGGCAACCGGCCTGCTCCCCTCTACACTCTCCCCCATCTCTCTACTCTGTACTGCACCCAAAAAATACAGCACCCCTACGATAGAAATTTCCCCTCTCCTCACCCGTTGCGTCTTCATCGTGACGTTTGCTCGCCCCACTTTGCCTTGCCACCACTGCCATCCCTCGCCGTGCCTCCATCTCACGCTGCGTTCGCCGCCGCGCCGCGCTCCATCCCCCGTCGCTCCCCCATCCACTATCGCGCCCCACTTTGCCTCGCCCGTCGCGGCGACGGCATGCACCATGCCACCACCACGCCAGCGCCACCAGGAGAAGGTCGCTGATAGCCGGGACATCGTCTCCCACGGTTGGCTGAAGATACCATGACAGGAAGCCCCGCCACCAGCGACCTGAGCTTGCTGCTGCTACCGCAGTTCCCTACTAGGAAGGTCGTGGCCACTGCAATGCGCAACCTCAGCAAGAAGATGTTGAGCTGAAAGCGCATGTTGCAAACATATCTTTCAAGTGTTTCAGATGTTTTGTATGTATGTTGCAAGTGTTTCATATATATTGCAAAAGTAGATCCATATGTTGCAATGGCTATATACATATGTTGCAAGTGTCTGTTCAAAATGTTTCATATGTATGTTGCAAGTGCTTGTATCTAGATGTTGCATATGTTTCACACATATGTTGCAAGTGTATGTTCCAAATGCTTCAGCCATTTTAGATGTATGTTGCATCAAGTGTTTCATGTTTCAAGTGTATACTTTGTATGGGATGGCCGGATTCACGTAGCGCGCATCCGCGGGTGGGGGATGTGGATTCCCATGTGCGCACGCGAAACAGAGCAGGCACGAGTGGTCCACACATGAATGTGAGAAACAAAGGGACGCGGACGATCCTCGTGTGCGGCGGGTGGGGTGAGTTGTCCGGGCGGTGTGGGTAGTCCCCGTGTGCGCGCGAAACAGAGTAGGCGTAGACGGTCCCTGCGTGAGCATGGGAAACGAAGCATGTGAATCTGATTGGGGGCGCGCGACACGGAGCAGGCGCGGGCGTCCGTCCAGACGTCCGGGCGCTAGCTCTACCATTTTAGCAAGATTGACAAAAATGCTTCCAACAACTCCCTATTGTTGGCATTTCTTAGCGTCACTACCAAGTTTGGAGTTAGAGTCCATCCCTAGTAGTGGCGCCAGAAATATCTGTTGGTATTTCTTAGCACCATCACTAAGATTGATTAAACCTTAGTGACATCGCCCAGAAACACCAACCATGATAGTTCTTAACGATTACAAAAATAATATCCACAAGCGTACGGATCTATCGCTATAGCATGTCACCCGAATGTATTCAAGGTATCATTATTTATATTTTTCCAAAGGAGGGCAAGGTATAAAGAGTCTAGCATGGATATGAACAAGATTTACATACTTGCATAGTGAAACAATAGTCTATGGCATGGGTAAAAATGGTATTTAAAGGATAGTGGACACACACTTGGGCAAACTTCATGGATAAAAGAAAAACAAAGAATAAAAGAATGTTCCTAAGTGGAGTAGGCATGTTCTAATATAGCCATGCAAAGAACAGTTAATGATCATTCAAATTACATTATCAGAGTTAGAACTAAGTGTAAGATGGACGGGGAGATCTTCGGGCACTGGTCTGCTAGCAAGCTAGGGAGATTTTAAGACTCCTACACAATACCCGAATGTGGGGGATTACGAGGGATGGACAGGGCTATCACCACCTACCGCCTACTCCTCAACCGGGGAGTATCGTCATATCCGAAGGTTCCCGTGCACCTGGGCACCATGCCTGTGTACAAAGTGATGAGGACATGACACCCATGCATATGACCATGTTTGGCGCATGGTATGGAGGGTTAGGAGGCCATCAAGGGTGTCCAAGTCAAGAAGGAGGCCCAAGTCTAATTCGGTTCGAGTCTCCGAGGTGGAGGCCCAAAGCATCTAAAGTTCGAGCCCGTCTCGGAGTCTAGGAGCAGCACGTACTAAAAACGATGCCTAGGTCGCATACAGTGTCCGTTTTGGGCATTCTTTATATGGATGGAAAGATAATTTCATGGACCTTCCAATGGCACTAGTCCCACCTTAAAATTCGATCGGATTCAACGGGAATCATAGAAACAAGTGGACGTCCAGAATCTGTCAGGGTGCTGCTCCACCGTCGGCGACAACTTAATTTAGAGGTGAGC